GGCTTTCCTCCCCTTTTGCTCCCCTTGCCTAGGGACACGGGAAAACCTCCGCCCAACCTGCCCATCAGGAGCCCCTTTTCTATAGCCTCCTTGACCATCCAGGTTACCTCTGGCCATGGGGTTGGTGGGGGCAAGGGCACCCTCCCTGTAGAAGGCCAGCAGAAGGCATCTCAGCCAGCAAAGGAAAGGCTGAATGGGGTTTTTTTACGGTTTGCACTGGGAAATGTGGCTCCATCTGGTTGCTGCTCAAAAGTCAGTGCAACTGATACCTGTTCAGGAAGGCTGAACCAAGAGCTATTTGGCATCTCAGTGAATTGTCCCAAAAAGATGGCATGCCCTCAGCCAGTGCCAGAAAGGTCTGGGCCAGCTCTTAAAGGGGAAGGAGGGACTGTTTTCAGTAGAAACACAAGCAAACTGGGTCTTTTCTTTTTTCTTTTCCCTGTGCCTATACCCTAACTTTACACCAGTGCGGACAGGCTCCGATGTGCAGGGAGCCACACCCAACCTCATGCTTGCCAGCTGCCCCTTCTCACCACAAGGAGCTGGTATCCCCATGTTCCCTATTCCACCTGAGAGTGGCAGAAGAGGAGCCCCCTTCTTTCATGCCACATCCCTGAATCCAGCTCATCCATTTTCCATTTCTACTTGTGGGACAGCCGGGAGCAAATCCTGCACCGACCAGCTGCACATTGGGTTTTGCACCCAGTGCCCCCCCCCAAGACCACCCTTCCTCGCCTCTCCCCAGGGATCCTGGAGTTCCTGCCATCAGGGGTTGTGCGCATTGGAGGCAGGAGCAAAAACGAGAAAGTGATGACCTGCTCCTTGAAGAATTGCCGCAAGACGTACATGCCCGGGCTCCTGGTGAGCAGTGACAAGCAGAACTTTGGATGGATAAGGCAGTGACACTGTCCGTGTCTTCTTCGGGTGGGGGCAGACGCCTGTGTTTGGGGGATTGTGCAGGTGCTCAGAGCTGGATGTAGCCGCTTTCAGTGGACAGTCGAGCAGGAGAGAGGGGCACCCCACTCCGCTTGCCTCCCCCCCCGGCACTGCTCAAGCACCCCTCCTGCTTGCAAGGGAAGGCAGGGCTGAGTCCTTACGAGCGCACCCTCCCAAACTGGTGTGGTGTCAAAGGGGACAGGCAGCTAAGCAAGCGCCCCCACCAGGGGAAGCCTCCCTGGGCACCCTCCCCTTCCGTGGGGGTCTGTGGGCCCTCCCCGCTCACTTTGCCTGTGGCTCCTTGTCCAGAGACTGAGGGCCCTTCGGAGACAGAAGGAGAGCATCAGCTACTGCACGAAGGTCTTGGAGCTGCTGCGCCAGGGGGTGCTCACGGAGTGGGAGCTGGAGGCCGAGATGGCCGAAGACTGCCTGGGGATCTCGGAGGTAAGGGGAAGGCCCCTCAGAGGGGGGGCACTGCCCTTCCTGGGGGTGTGGGGTGTGTGCCTTGCCGGAGATCCCTCCGAATCTGCAGCTCCAGCTTCTCCCTGGCTTCATCTTTCAGGGGGGGATGCTGCAGTGGCTGAACATCTGCTTCCCACCCGAGAAAGGGCAGCCACCGAGGGCAGAGAGACGCAACGCCGCCAGGCTCCGCAGGAAAGGAGGCGGTAAGCAGTGCCGGAAGAGGCTGCCCCCTCACCATGATTTCTTAACAGCATGCCTCCCCCAGTTGGGACTACAAATCCCATTATCCCCCAGCCAGCATAGGGTGGTGGAGATGGTCGCTGGGGACCCACCTTTGGGAGTCTGCTTCTGCTGCAAGTGGACAGAGAGGTGCTGGGTCCATGGGGCTGGTCAGCTGGCCCCACAGCGTCCTTCAGAGCCATATCGTTTGATGTCGAAGAGAGGGCCGGCAATCATCAGCCTTCTCAGCATGAGAGGTGATGATGGCTTTGCTTTCACCCTCATCTCAACCACTCGGCAAGGTAGGCTCCTGCCAGGCAAAAGCCCCACGTGGTGCCCCCGAAACAGGAGTGCCCCTTTTGTGGAGCCTTTTTGGGGCTGGGGCCCATTGACTCCATGACCCCCCCCCCAGTAGAACAAAGCCTCCTTCGTGGGCGGGGGGGGGAATCCTCTGCATTGCAACAGGGGTCTGGCGCTTTGTGCAAGGTCCTTGTGCAAGGACGGCGGGATGAGGCCCAGCCAAAAGAGACGAGCTTCCTCCAGCCCGGGTGGGATCGCTCAGAGCCCCACAAGGACAGGGACCTTCTTTTGTGGGGCTTCGTTTCCCGGCGGTGTCACTCTTGCACAACGTACCCTTGCGGCTGGAGCCTCTTTTCCAGCGGGCCACGGGCTGCCAGCCCAGCACCAGCCCCAGTTGGTCTAGGGCTGAGTTGTCTCCCAGCACCGTCCTGTGGCCTTGGGGCGGCTCATGGGGGGGGGTCCCTCCTCTGTGCTCTTTGGCCAGATGCCCACAACGCGCAGCTGTCCCGGTGCCAGAAGAACGAGGAGCGGTTCTTGGACGATGATTATTACGACGAGATGGATGATGAGGAGTCGGCGTCTTCAGGGACACCCCAGGGGAAATTTGCTTACCTTGTGCCGGAGGAGAGACAGTAAGGCTCGGGAAGGGGGTAGGAGGGAACAGCTGGGAGAGTAGCCGGGGCCTCTCTGGGTCATCGGATCCGGCCCACTTATGCACCGCATGAGACCTGCCAGTCCAGCCACCTTGAAAGAGGGCAACCCAGCTGGTTCTTGGAGGTCCCAGGAGGCCCCCATCCAGCTTCCGAGGTTGCCTCTTCCTTCTTGAGCATCTTCTGCTGCTGCCGGCGGCAGAGAGAGAGAGAGACCCCGGATCGGCTGCAGCCCTTCCTTTCCTGCCCACCCTCCTTGTGACCCCCCCCCACACACGTTTCTTGACCTTTCTTCTAGGCCGAAGACTGCCTGGGGATCTCGGAGGTAAGGGGAAGGCCCCTCAGAGGGGGGGCACTGCCCTTCCTGGGGGTGTGGGGTGTGTGCCTTGCCGGAGATCCCTCCGAATCTGCAGCTCCAGCTTCTCCCTGGCTTCATCTTTCAGGGGGGGATGCTGCAGTGGCTGAACATCTGCTTCCCACCCGAGAAAGGGCAGCCACCGAGGGCAGAGAGACGCAACGCCGCCAGGCTCCGCAGGAAAGGAGGCGGTAAGCAGTGCCGGAAGAGGCTGCCCCCTCACCATGATTTCTTAACAGCATGCCTCCCCCAGTTGGGACTACAAATCCCATTATCCCCCAGCCAGCATAGGGTGGTGGAGATGGTCGCTGGGGACCCACCTTTGGGAGTCTGCTTCTGCTGCAAGTGGACAGAGAGGTGCTGGGTCCATGGGGCTGGTCAGCTGGCCCCACAGCGTCCTTCAGAGCCATATCGTTTGATGTCGAAGAGAGGGCCGGCAATCATCAGCCTTCTCAGCATGAGAGGTGATGATGGCTTTGCTTTCACCCTCATCTCAACCACTCGGCAAGGTAGGCTCCTGCCAGGCAAAAGCCCCACGTGGTGCCCCCGAAACAGGAGTGCCCCTTTTGTGGAGCCTTTTTGGGGCTGGGGCCCATTGACTCCCCCCCACAGTAGAACAAAGCCTCCTTCGTGGGCGGGGGGGGATCCTCTGCATTGCAACGGGTCTGGCGCTTTGTGCAAGGTCCTTGTGCAAGGACGGCGGGATGAGGCCCAGCCAAAAGAGACGAGCTTCCTCCAGCCCGGGTGGGATCGCTCAGAGCCCCACAAGGACAGGGACCCTTCCTTTGTGGGGCTTCGTTTCCTGGCGGTGTCACTCTTGCACAACGTACCCTTGCGGCTGGAGCCTCTTTTCCAGCGGGCCACGGGCTGCCAGCCCAGCACCAGCCCCAGTTGGTCTAGGGCTGAGTTGTCTCCCAGCACCGTCCTGTGGCCTTGGGGCGGGGGGGGGGGGGGGGTCCCTCCTCTGTGCTCTTTGGCCAGATGCCCACAACGCGCAGCTGTCCCGGTGCCAGAAGAACGAGGAGCGGTTCTTGGACGATGATTATTACGACGAGATGGATGATGAGGAGTCGGCGTCTTCAGGGACACCCCAGGGGAAATTTGCTTACCTTGTGCCGGAGGAGAGACAGTAAGGCTCGGGAAGGGGGTAGGAGGGAACAGCTGGGAGAGTAGCCGGGGCCTCTCTGGGTCATCGGATCCGGCCCACTTACGCACCGCATGAGACCTGCCAGTCCAGCCACCTTGAAAGAGGGCAACCCAGCTGGTTCTTGGAGGTCCCAGGAGGCCCCCATCCAGCTTCCGAGGTTGCCTCTTCCTTCTTGAGCATCTTCTGCTGCTGCCGGCGGCAGAGAGAGAGAGAGACCCCGGATCGGCTGCAGCCCTTCCTTTCCTGCCCACCCTCCTTGTGACCCCCCCCACACACGTTTCTTGACCTTTCTTCTAGGACCCACCAGGCGTGGCTGCTCAACCTCTTGAAGGAAGGAGACACCATGACCCATCAGGAGGTGGCCGCCGTCCGCGACGTCAGGAGCCTGCGGCAGAAGGACCGCTGGCGCCTGTAC